GGAGCATGTCTGAACTGATTAGTCACACTAACAACATAAGCAATGCTTGGACATGTAAATGAAAGGTATATCAACTTGCTCACAAACCTTTGAAACATACCCACATTTTGACAACTTCACCCCTTTGGTTTTCCAGTTTATGGTTTTCTTCAATAGGAGTATCACCTGGTTATGGACCCAAGCTTTCCTATTTTTTGAATAAGGTTCAACACGTATTTCGTTTGAGTGGTAAAGATTCCCCTCTCATACCTTGCCATTTCTATCCTAAGAGAATACTTCAATAGACCTAGATCTTTAATTTCAAACTCCCTTACCAAGAAACTCTTAAGTTGCTGAATTTATTTCGAACAATTACTTGTTACAACAATATCATCCACGTATACAATCAGGGCAGCAGTACTGACTTTAGTATGTTTTACAAATAAGGTATGGTTTGCATGATTTGTGCTTGCTCAATTCTGTGAAAAGTACCACTAAACCTCTCAAACCAAGCTTAAGGAGACTACTTAAGTCCATAAATGGTGTTTCCCAATATACAAAATTTCACCTCATATCCAAGAGCCTTAAGACCTGGTGGAGGTACCATTTACACTTCTCCCTACAGTTCTCATGAAGGAATCATTTCTTGACATCTAGGTCCAATGGCCACTCCAAGTTAGTTGTAGAGACAAAAGGAAACGAATAGAGCTCATCTTAGCTACAGGAGCAACTGTCTCCCGATTGTCTGTTTCATAAGTTTGAGTACCGCATGGAAACAAATCATGGCTAATATCTGTCACTTGTCCCATCGTACTTGTGCTTTATAGTGTAAACCCGTGTGCAATCAACCAATTTCTTCTCTATGGTCTACCAGTTCCCTAGTACCATTCTTAGTTAATGCTCTCATCTCCTTGCTCAAAGCCTCTTTCCACTTGGGATGGGCTCTAGTCTTTAGAAACGTTGGATGGAATTGCAATAGAAGATAAAGAAAACACGAAAGCACGATAGGGAGGAGACATGGACTCATAAGAAAGAGAGTTGCGAATTGGGTGTACAATGCAACTTTGTTTATGTTTACATACAACAATTAGTAGATTAGAATCATCACACTGAGATCTAGCGGATTGTCTGGATCCAACGTATGCAACTGGCTTGAAGGCTTGTCTACTATGGTGATCTCAGCTTCTTTTGGTTCTGCTAAGGTTTATACTTCTAATTCTTTCTCTTCATCATCATGGTATTGCTCCCCACTATTCTCTAGAGTTCCACAATCAAGAAAAATAGGAATAGCGAGAGTACTAGAAGACCTTTGTTCCACACTATGCTCCTCTTGAAGTGAAATATGAAAAAAAGAGTGAACTAAAAAAAGATTATATCCATTGAGACAAATTTGTTTCTTGACACAAGATTATAACATTTGTTACCCTTTTGAGAAGATGAATAACCAAGAAAATACATTTACAAATTTGAAACCCAACAAGAACATTGAGTAAAGCTAACACAACCAAAGACTCTAGGGGGAATTAAATTGTGGATGATCGCATCGAAGAATTTTATGGGGAGATTTGTAATTGAAAACACAAGATGGCATATAATCATTAAGATAGGATGCAGAGATCTGTAGACCGTAATTTCTTGGGTACATTCATATTCAAGAGAAGAGCACGTCCAACCTCTGAGAAGTGTCTATTCTTTCTTTCAGCCACACCATTTTGTTGTGGTGTGTATGAACAAGAACTTTGATGTTCAATGCCATATTTTGACAAATAAGACAACAACTCTTTATTACAATACTCCCCACCTTAATCACATCTCAGTATCTTAATTTTAGTGTCAAACTAGGTATGGATCATCGGTATTAGGAGCTCCATCTTTGGTCTTCATAAGATAAGTAATGATCAATGAAACAAAATACCCAGAGTCAATGATAGAAGTAACAGGAGAGAGAGTCCAAACATCAGAATGAATAATTACTGGGTACAAGAGTCTCTACAATGTTTTGAGAGTTCACAAACTTCACATTGAAACTCTGACACACTAGTTTACTTCATCAACAACCTAACAAACAAAGGCTTCAATAACAAAAAAAATAAATGACCAAGTCAAAGATGCCACTGCCAAATTGGATCTTTATTAATATTGGTGTTGTCTTGAAGGACTTAAGGAGTGGTTATTACCGAGTCTAGAGTGTAGAGACCATCATCATGACCACTTTCAATCCTCCTCATATCCAGCTCCTGAAAAACACAGTGGGAGAGAAAGGACACACCGGTTTGAACTTTTGGTAATACTATTGACAAGCATTAAGTTTGTAGCTAACTGAATACACAAAGAACATATGATAATGACATTTTAGGGGAAACATGTATAGTTCATTTTCTAGAGGTAGAAGAAAATGATCCATCAATAATCTGAAGTTTGTCTCTAGTAGAATAAAGGTAATAAGTAGAAATAAGGAAGACATACTAATTAAGTGGCCAGAGGCTCCTAAATCAATAATCCAGGATGGTCTAGATGGAGTAAGAAAGACAAAGAGTAGAAGTATAAATGCCTGAATGTGCAAAAGTTGAAGAGGAAGGGGATGTGCCATCTAATTGAGAAGACAACCAGCGAAAACATGCTGATCAACATAATCAGCATCAAGTTCACTTTCCATAGAGATTCGAGACCATCCATACATGAGATCTCGATAATAATTGAGTCTCACAGCTCATAAAACAAGGGAGCGTCATATTTAAGTGTTCCAACAACAACATCGAATCATCCCAGCCAGATTTAGTTTTTTCTAACACCATCCCAAAAAGATATAGGATTTTTAAGAGCATCAAGTCATCCCAAACAGATCTAGGGTTTCACGTCATCAAGTTATATGAACTAGGTCTAGTGTTTTTTAGCATCATTCCAACTAGATCTAGGATTTTTAACACCACAAAGTCATTCCAAAATAATCAAAGGTTTTTTTAATTCAATATCAAGAATTTGAAATCAGAGTTTTACATCCCAAACTTGGTTTTCAACATTGTATGGCTAATGGGGACTCTCTGAAGGTCAAATTACATCATTAGGGTTGCATGAACCATGACCAAAGTCCCCTTCTCTGTTACCAGGTCAAATGTACAATAGAAAAGAAGAGGAAGAACGAGTTGAGGATCTAGGGAGAGAGAGCGAGGAGAGAAAGAGAGTAAAAGATAATTTTATGTGGAGGCAAAAAGGAAGAGATAATAAGAAGTTATATTGGATTCTAAATTAAACTACACAGCCCTCTCTTCTAGTATATAAAGTATTAATTTTAACTTGTATACATTGATATTCTTTTGTGTAGAAAAAGACAAAAGGAGAGTGGGCGGCCCTAAATTTGTTTCCATACAAGGAAGGAACTTTCGAGACAAAGACAGGCTGACTTTTTTCATTTTAGAATCACTTAAGCCCCTCATTTCCACACCAAGCTTTCATGTGTGGTTGGGCTTATGGGGAATCATATGTCTAAGGGAGTGCTTAGGATTTTGTTCTTCCATGCGAGGCTGTTGAGCTCTCAACAATATTTATCTTTCATTTTATCTTATTGCTGAAAATATTTCTGATATCAACAACACTTACCTTTGATGTTGCCCTCCGCCCTATAAGTTCTCTAAAATCATCTGAGTCTGTGGAAAAAAAAAGACTCATTGTCAAAGATTCGGTAGTCTTGTTCTTCATAAGGGTTCCAAGGTCTTCCCAAGGGTAAGATCTCAGTGGGATGCAAAAGTTTATGGGGATTCTTGGCTGGTGAAGGGATGGGGGATGATGGAAAGGATGTGTGCCTAGCTCACTGTAAGTGAAAGGGGGTTAGGATAGGGTTGAAGCTTGGAAGAAAGGAGGGGAGGGGGTTCTACAGAGCAAGCACTTGGGCCTGGGATTTGGGCCGCTAGTCATGAAGAAGAAGGGGAGTCCTAGTGAGTAAAGAAAATGGGGAAGGAACCCTAATTAGACAATCAGAGATGTTGGGGTGTGGGAGTGAGGGGCTGAAAATATGAACTCTGGTGTGGGAGGAATGCAAGTATGTCTTTGGAGGATGAAGAGCAGTGATCTCCATTGATCATCTAAATAGTTCAGATTGGTTGGTTTGGGAGGTTTCTGAGGAGGGACGATGTGAAAAACTGTGAACTACATCGTACATTGAGAAGGTGAGTTATCTTTGTGGTTGAATCCCAACCATCAGATGTCTCCTCAGTATTCGTCTGACACGTGGGAGCTGTGGAACCATTGGATATATGTGGAATGGGGGCTGAAGGGGATGGATCATCCTTGCCATTGAGAGAAAAGTTGGTGCTGCATGAGGGGCGAGATGGAGGTCATTCAGGTGGCTGGGGAGGCATGTGAGGCATCGCGGCATCGTGGGTTTTAAACAATGGTCAATGTTGATTCTCTCATGTGTAGCAAATGCTTATGGGTTGGGGGGCGTCCGGTGTGTGTGTGTGTGTGCGTTTGACATCTTGGTCATTCCAGCAAAAGGACAACGGATTGTTGCAGTAGGGTGTATGGAAACACCCTAATCATTTTGAAAGACTTGGGCCTCCTCAGATTGGTGGCTGAGAACTTTGATTAGGTTTTACAAATATTTTCAATTGGGAATGATCGTTGTCTTTCATCTCAGCTTTGCATGTTAAGAGTACTATACCCTTGTTCGTACATTTTAATAGATTTTTCATTTTTTTCTCGGGGTTGTAAAATCATTTTATGACTTGGATGTACAATATCACCTATGAAGTTAATATTAAAAAGTAGCACCATCCGTTGTGTGCTTTATTCTATTCGCTTTTGTCTCATGTATTTACTTCCTATAATTGGCTTTCTTTAGATTATTGGAGTCAGACAAGATATCAGAGCTTGAAAATGATTTTCTCAATTCCATATAAGAACAAAAAGGAAAAAATCAATTTAATTTAAAGAAGAGTTGTATATGTTTCTTTCTACGAGTTTGTTAATTTCCTTAACTGTGCTTTATACTGGATCCTTTGTCTCTCACACATTTTATTTTTCAGGGACACTAGCTTACACAAAGCACTTTTTTCAGAAAAAGGTCTAGCTGATGGAACCAAATTGGTTTACCATGCTACTACTACTCAGGTTGTTTGGCTTATGCAACTTATTTCATTGCCTGTGCAATAATGGACATTGATATCATTTGGCATGGGGTTCTAGAAGGGCATTCGAAGGGGACTTGTCTGAACTGAAACAATAAGAGAAAAAAAAAAAAGAGTACCCGGACAACCTACAACAATGTATAGTGTATCTTTAGCCAAAAAAAAAAAAAGAGTACGCGGACCACCCTACAATAATGTAAATGTGTCTTTAGCCACTTGTGAATTCATGGGCATTGCGACTTGTAGTGATAGGTTTTTGGATGTTACTAGTGATATATTTTAGCAGGATATCATCAAAATAATGTTTTCTACCACAAGCTTACCTGGATCTTATTGGCAAAATCTATAAAGCACGATGATTTTTCAGAAAATTAATGTTTTGTCTGGAATGATATGTCAGGTTTTAGAATTGCATTGCCTTATTAAGAAGTTACAGAACTCCTATGATTATCTTCAATGTAATAAGGAACCGTCATTGTTTTCCCTGGATACCAGTGAAAAACTGTAATTGAATGGGATAATTCTTATTATCAAGTTGTGTGACATTATGTCCTTGTTGAATTATTGGGATAAATTTATTGGCGTATCTCTTTCAAGAAATTAAGGGAAAATACAAATTTTGGCTTTATGCTATAGTGTATCCATAAAAGTCTCTTTGTGAAATTAAAAGTACAACCACACAGACAGCCTCGCAGGGCCATCCTCTGCCACATAAGTTTCTGATCTGCATGGTCCACTTGCTGACATTTTAAAGCATTGTTGTTTTCACAGATAGTGCTAGAAGGTTATAAGAAAGGGAATGGTATAGTTTGCAATTGTTGTGGCAAATTGGTAAGCCTCAAATTTATGGCCAAGAGTTACTCGTGAATATGCTGTTATGCTATTAGATCTTGAACTCCTTATCTTGATGAATAGGTTAGCCCCTCAAAATTTGAGGCTCATGCTGGATATGCTTCTCGACGTCAACCGTGAGTATCACATGATATAAATATTGGTTCACAAGCTAATATAGTCCAAGAATTCCTTATGGATTCACTTAAATGCTATTTGTTTTGCAGTTACATACATATCTTTGCCAGTGGTCGGTCTCTTCATGATCACTCAATTTCCATATCACGCAGCCAAATGCCTAGTGCGACCACCGGATCTGATCATTGCCATTTTTGTGGAAATGGAGGGGAGTTGCTTTTCTGTGATGAATGCTCCAGATCTATCCATAAAGGTTCATATTTTCTTGTAAATTCATCTGCCCAACTTAGTATGCATTGAGCTGTTTAATGTTTTCTTGAAGTTAGAATATTTTACTTGATCCAATAAGCCATTTTGAGCTTGGGGTAACATGCAGTAAAATGCAAATATATGTTTCCAGATTTTGGATATGGAGCAACATCTCATTTGAGAACATAGTAATATTCACATAATTTTCATGGATTTAATCCAAAGTCATGATTCCAATCTAATTTTATAGATTTGGTGTGCTTAGCACCTCTAACATGTCTTAGACCTCGGCCACCTTCCTTTTTGATTCCACAGATCTGATTTCACAGGATCTGGTTCTTACTTGATTTGCTGGAATGATGACTAGAGAAATTGTTAGGAGCTTCTCAATATTGTCAAAAATATCTTTTGGGCTGGTAAAATAGTGAATGATACACTGGATCAGTGGTGTAGGCAAATTTTGTGAGTGTTGGTCAGCAACTGTAGATGAGAACTAGGCTTTCCACAGTGCAAATTTTTATCTAATGTTTGCCACCTTAGGTGAAATATAATCAGCCTTGGGTCTACCTGGAAATTAAAGAACACCCAGGTGGCTTGTTAAGAGCTGATGAAGAGGAAAGCTAAGGGAACAATTGATGAGCTCTAACTTGGTAGTAGTGGAGATATATGAGTCTTGTTGTTTTTTATTTTCCCCCAATATTATTGTTAACTCAAGGATATATTCTTATTATTATTATTATTTTGTGGGGCATTTAGGTGTCATCCGCGGATGACAGATAAATTACTCTTGTATACTTCATGGGAGCACAATTTTAGGAATGGATTTCCCTGCAATAAGAAGACTCACATGTGGTTAAGTTTTGGTCTGCTAGGATAAGCAAGTTTTGGGATAATGAGTTGCCCTACCGGAGACCTTTTGTGGCCTAAAAAGAACACTGATGAGGTCTAGAAACAAACTTGAACCAAATAAATTCACTTCCAATGGAGTTGAATCTTCATGTGAATTATTAGATAACAGGCTTCTAAATATGGTCATATGCTTTTGATATGAATATCGCAACAGCTATATCTTCCACAAAAACTTTTCAATTTTGATATTATGGGACTTTAGAAGTAATGTATGCATTGACCACGATGAGTCTTCCTTCTACAAGATCTCTTCCTATGAGGTCAGGTTAGTCACCATAGATATCAGCCAAGAAGGAAGTTTGTATCACTAGACTTTCTAAAGGAAAATAAGTATGCTAATCAGTCAGCACCACTTAAGTTTATTGGGGACGTCACTTACAGGACTAAATAAATTTAACTGCAATTGAATGACTTAGCAACAAATTTATAAAGAAATGAAGGATTTATGGATCATGCAATCTTGGAAAAATATAGATTCAATAACTTCAAGTTCAGGCTGATAATTTCCTAGAATGCCATGTCGAACACACTAGAGAAATTGTCTGGTCCTGGTTCGCTCTTCTTTGGGAGACAAAAAACACAAATTTCTGATTTTCATTGCTCTAAGCAGGTCCGATTGAAATGAGTTCTCTTCCTCTCATAGAGGGATGGAGCTGATACGAAGCAAGTCATTTTTTATAGTTGAATTAGAGGAAGATAACTACTCTTGCTAGTGGGAGCTTGCCTCGGTAACTATCTCCTGATTAGTTTTCGAAGGTCCACCTTCTATAGATGGTACTTCTGTTTATGAGCTTTTTGTGTTCATGTCCCCATCTTGAAGCCATCTGACTCAAGACTTCTACTTCTAAAAAATATCCTCATTTAACAAGCTCCTGATATTTTCTTTTTATTTAACATCTTAATAGCTTCTAAAAAATATCCTCATTTAACAAGCTCCTGACATTTGCTTTTTATTTAACATCTTAATAGCTTCTGCTGATTGCCTGAGTGGCAATGCGCTGGACGGCCCACCCCAGCCCCGCCCTAGCCTAGTCCACAAGATGTGGTCTGAGTCCCAGCTACCACAGCCTGAGAGTCGGACCGGGCTTGGGCCACGACAGGGCCGGCTCAGTTCGTCCTGGCCTGGCCTTTCTTTCCTTACTTTTTTTCCCTTTTGCTTTCTGGAATATATTTGGCCTGGCTCAGCCTTGATAGGGATGTGGCTGGCTTGGGACTAGGCCTCTTGGGCCCGATCAGGGCTGGGCAGGGCTAAGGCCAAGGATGGCCCGGCCCGTTGCCAGTCCTACCCCTTGGGGACTTCATGCATAACGTCATAACATTATTTCATGAAATTCTTAACTCATGTTAAAAAATTCAAATTTTTCTTGTTCTCCCATCCTTCAAATTCCATTTCTACGTCCATACCTTGATAGGAGCGTCTTTATGGTGTCTATTCTTAATTAAATTACCCATTTTAGAAAACCGGGATATTAATTCCACATACGTTCAAACTTTGAGGGGCTTCAGCTCTCTCACTCTCACTCTCTATTTCTATTTGGATTTCACTATCTTCTCTTTTGTGTTCTCTTTCTATTCTTAGTATTCCTATTTATAGACACCTTGTTTTCTTTTCACTGAAGTGGATTTCACAAGCATATATATGTTTTTCATATATGTAACTATGGTATGCTTGCATGAGTACCTTCTATGGTTGCCTTGATGGTGGCCACAAGATTTTTTTTATAGGGCTTAAAACTCAGCACTTGAGATCAACTTGGCTAAATTATCTTGGCAACCTGAACTTGAACACGCTTCTAAAGCAGGGCATATAGTTAGGTTAGATAGATGATTATACAAGAGAGGAGCTAAGTGATGCCGGCTCTTCGCCTTTGATCAAGGCCCTCGCATCAGGCTCTTTCTTTGGAAACTCAATAGAGTGAAGAGTTCGTAGCGGAAAACCTTAAGTTCCCTGCCTGCTTGTAGCAGAGTTATACAAGAGAGAAGCTAAGTGATATGCAGTCCTACATGAATCTAATGAATATTTGCAATTTTACTCTGTTTAAAGTGCCTTAGAGATATTGCTTGATTCTATGCCCCTCACTTGTAATGTATTAAATAACTTAGAATAACCTTAGTCCCTAGTTACACTTGAAGAGTCTATCCCTATGTTGTTCATGTGGATGAGTGGCTCTTAGAATCTTTAAACAAAGAAACATTACTTATGTAAACGAAACTGAGAAAAGCGCATGTTAGGGAATGAATTTGATGACTTATGAGGTGGCAATTTGACTCTTAACAATGGTCTATTCTCTTATTCCTAGGTCTTACTGCTGGTTAACTCATCTTCCAGCACTATCAGTATCTCATGGAGGCATATCTGGAGGGAAGCCAACGCTGATGCCGACTTCCTAGTGAGGGAGGGTGCTTCTACAATCCTACAGTTGGGTCGCTCGGCATCTTTTTGAGCTACTGAGCCCCCTAATAGTTCTAGCGTCTCCCCTCGCCCCCAAAAAAAAAGTTATTGGTTGTAGAGATTTTCTGAGATTTGTTGGGATGGTTTTTGTATAGGGCACCCAACCGTTAGGGCAGTCCTATTTTTGTATACTGATATTATTTGTAATACCCCATTACTCAATATATTTAATACAGTTAACAGTTTAAAAAAAAAACAAAGAATATAATTTCTGGGTAGAAGGCTTTTCACCTAGAAATTATGTATCACAAAAACAATTTATTAGTAGAACTAACTGATAAGGGAAGTACATAATCTCTAAATAGAAGTTGATTGTTTCTACTTTCCATGTTCCCTCAATTAAATTCCAATTATTCTGACATCTTGTGCGGGCAACATCTATTTGTCATTGGTTGTCGATATTTCTTTAGGATCTGGAGTTTATCTACTATGTTTGCTCACAGCCATTTCTTTCATAAGTTAAGTCTGTGCATATTTTTTTATAAGAGGTTCTTTCTATAATTTCCCAATATCCATATGAATTATGTATAACTTTGGAGGCTTCATGTGGACCTGGTTTTGAATGTCAACCAGGAAGCATTATATATATAGATATATATATATATATATATGCATGCATGCATGTATGTACGTATACACGCATATGGACATATATATGCATACCATATTATCTACTTTTTTTTAAGTGACTTTTGCCTTAGAAGTAATTTCAGTATACCTACAGCTACATGTAATAATTTCCTCTAATTCTTATTAATAAAAGAGAAGTCTAATTCTATATGTATCTGCAGGTTGTTTAGAATTGCAGTTTGTGTCAAAAGAAAACCATTTCTGCCCATTTTGTTCTGGTAAAAGTGAACCAAGAAGAAAGTTGGCCAGCAGGAGACCTTCATTAGCTTCCTCACGAAACCAAAGTGCTCAGACAAGTAAGCTAACCCACAAGAATCGCATCAAGTCATTGCCATTTGAAGTTGGAGGCTGTGTCATATGCAGGTGGATTACAGAATACCCACAAACATCCAAACACACACACACGAGTTTATCTGTTTTACTGGATTGAAACTTCCAGTTGAAATGGTCTTTTTAAGTTGTTATACGTTTACTCTCTCTCTCTCTCTCTTATGTGTGTGTTTATGGGCTGCCGTGGAGAACCCAGAAAAGTAATTCAGCCTCTTCACAGCCAATGAGAAATAAAATCTTTAAAAGTCCCGGTCATCGATAATATACAAAATTTGAGAAGGACAAAAAATAAATATCCTTCATTAGGGTTCCATGCCCCATATAGGAACGATACATGGATTGGGTCCGATAAATATAACCTTCAACATATATACAGTTACTTAACAAGTCCAAAAGGGCTTCAAAGACAAGGAAAGATGAACATAAGGCATGTAGATGAGTCAATGATTATGACTTTGCCCATGCAATATATTTTCAAATCTCTCCCACAACTGAATACATGTATGTGCTTTATATGGAACTTGCCTAATATATGGTACTATATACCTTTCTGGGGTGGATTTTTACACTTATCTACTGGCTCATTTTCAGTCATTGTCTATGGATTGTTATTGCCTATGGCTACATCTACTCCCCTTAAAGTTGGCAATCCATTGCAACATGTTTTTTCTTTTTCTGCTCATTAACACTTAATTTGACAAAAAGGATGGATGCATGGTAAATCATATCCAAGGAAAAAGCACCTGACATGACAATGGTTGAGGTCTTTTAGATAAACCAATTTACAAAGAGTTAAGGCTATTTTCCTATATGGAAAAAGTTTATATAAGGAAAGTTTATATAAGGTTGCAACCTTAAAATGTAGAATTAAGGTGCACCTCAAAAATCCATCATAAAAGGTTGTTTTGATGTTGGAAAACCCTCGGATTGATCATCTCAAAATCGAGATGTATGAATATGAAAAGAAAAAAAATATTTCGAGTCCTAAAAATAGTAGAGCTTGCAATACATTATCCGGACCGTCTAGTGTTTCAAAAAGCGCTAGGTGGGTCCTAGGCGAATTGGGGGTCTAGGCCACCCAGCGCCTAGGCGGGCGCCCAGAACCTGGGCGGCCCAGTTGCATCCAAATAAGGATTATATAGTCCAGTTGAATCCAAATAAGGATTCTGCAGTTATTTGAGTATCAGACAATATGTTATATTCAAATTATACTACATATTAGCATTTAGCATACATTCCATAAGCATAACCATAATCCATAAGTCGGTTCATACTCCATAATCCATATCCAATTAAAACTTAAAATATGCCAACCAACCAAATTATAAAACTATGAAAGTAATACTTGAAGACTCAAAAGAATCTCCAATAGTTCAAATGTTCAATACACAATACTTCAATCAAAGTTCAAACTTCAAAGTAATAAAGTTTAATAATTATTCAACAATCCACATTCATTCATCATCAAAAAATCTTGGGTCAGCTGCATTGGAATCATATTCATCGGAGTCGACGGAGTCGTCACCCTCCTTGACATATTGCGACTCGTCTTCCTCCGTATCTTGTGAATCTGCCTCCTCTTCCTCCACCCTTGTTCTCTGTACAGAAGCTTTAGTGGCCTTAGGAGGGTCAGCTGATGTCCCTGAAGCATCCATGACCATGTCCCATGTCAATCTTTCATGCCCCTCGACCTAATCATCATCAACTAACCACTCTATAGCATTGTCCATATTTTTTGATCTGATGGGGTCTCTATTATCTCTCTTAGCAAATTTATCCTTCAAGAATCGATTGTACTCAACATGGACAAGGTCATTGAGCTTCTTTGATTTAAGCCTGTTCCTCTTCTTTATATGAACCTAACAAAATAAAATGAAAGTGAACTAATTAAAATCTAATATCTATGATTCGTGTATTATTTCTAAAATTATACAAATTACCTTAATGGCCTTATCCCTTCAAAAGTACTCCAATTGCGCTCACAACCGGATGAAAAAGTTGTTAGGTTTAAAATCCGAATGACCAACTTTTTTAAATTTGGAAAACTGCGCCCATGTTGGCTCCACCAATGGGCTGCAAAGGAATAAAAAAAATCATAAATAAATAATAGAAATACTTGATTACTTGAACCGTTGAACTTGATGAAATGAACTGAAGAATATTATTAATATAATGATATTTAATACCTGGATTAATTTTGGTCCTTTGCCTCATTGCCATTGAACTCCCAAAAGAATTTTATGAGCACTAGTAATTTATCAGCTCATCAACGCATATAATGTCCTGCATTTCAAGATCAGGGACTAGCACTTCTACACACTTATTAAATCCATCCATAATTGTGTCATTTGTTTGTATATCCTTGTTAGTATAAAACAAAGTTGGGTTCAAAAAATAACCAGCTGCATGCAATGGTCGATGTAGCTGCTTATCCCACTTATCATCAATAATCTCCCAATCAGGCTTGTAGCGGGTTTCTTCATCATTGAAATTTTGGGTTTTCTCTTTTTTGCATTTCTCCATAGCATCATATATATAGCCCATAGAAGGCTTGTCACTATCAACCATGTAAAGGACTTTGATAAGAGGAAAAAATACCTTAAGAGCGTCCTTCACCCCTCTTCAAAAAGCCTTAGAAAGTGTAATATCTCTCCCGTTCTTTTCAACCTGAGCCTCAGACCACTTGCATGCTCTCCACTCATTCGAGGTAAACATTTGCCTCAACTGCACTCTCCTTGAATGTATGTTATCTAGGCATAAGTACCAGGATGCAAATCTCGTGACACCAGGCCTCACAATCTCTCTCTTCTTTGTAAAGGTACGCATCATGCTGATGGTTATATGGTGGCTATAAATAAAATTCGTAATATACTTGGCCTTCTT